ATATATGCTTTAAAAACTATTTGGACCTAAACTAATAAGATGATGTTTTCTTGTTGTTTCCTGCTGGTGGTTCAGCATTCCAACATGAGAGAAGATATATGGCATGATTGTTAATCACCTATCAACTTTGCATGAAATCACTCATTTGGAACATAATTGCACATGACTGTTCATATAATCGTCACAATCACCCACACAGATGTTTCATACAAATTGTGCGTGCACACATGCACGCGCACACACACACACAAACATATCATATGCCTACCTAACCTGCAAAGTACCATCTCAAGAATCCCAAATGTTGTATTTTAGCATCCTGTTGCAGTTGGTATTAGAATTTATTTTTGGTTTTGTTTGAATGATAACATCCACATTGCACACTTGATAGACAACAAGCATATCAAAAAGAAAATACATGTGGCAGAGAAGGAGAAACTACATTGATTTAATTTAGAAACATAAATATGAAAACACTGATTGCAGTTGTGCAGAAGGCACAGCAGTTACCCCTAAATTTCAGCGCACCTGATGATGGCTGAATAGGCCAAAACATGTAGCGCAGTGACAAAATTTAAAAGGATTTAATTTTAAATCTTAACATTATCACACAGTAGATGGTAACAAATATAAATATATTGTCGCGTATCGGGCTTATATCGCGACAAATAACTTCTCGTTGTATTTGATGTAGCGAGTTTTATTTCACATTCGCTCATACAATCACCCAAATTACAATCTGACGATTACTGCTACCTGCAGTATCACAATTAGTACACTCCCAATGCCAGAATACAACTGACTGGCTGACTTTACGTCTTGACTCGGCGACTGTTACAGTACAACAACAGTACAACTCAGTACAACTCTGCGGTAGCCCCACTAGAACTCGAACTCGAACTGATCGATACGCACTGTGCATCCACTTATATAGCTGCAGTGCTTGCCTGTGGCGTAATGAGTGCCACGTCACAGTAGGACGTTGATTACGGTTACGTTAGCGTTGCGCGTTACGTCACCGCGTGACGTCACCGCGGAGGGGAGTGGCGGGGAGCGCTACGTTACCGTGGAGAGGAGGGGGGAGGGGGGTTCTCAGTCCCGCAACATGT